GACTAAAGCAAGTAGCTGTTACGTAGGTTCGTGCGAATATGCGAAATAAATAAACAGTTTTTAAATATTTTTCATGTGTATTAGGGTCATTAAGGTTTTATCTTTTTAATTTTCATATATATGACGTTTAATAGCATTATTTTGTTCTGCAATTTATTAAATTGCCTTTTCATCAAAAGATCAATGTTTGCTAGAATACATTATTTACCGAGTAATAATATAAATAATATGCTATAAATTATGAGATGTTAATATGGATAATTAAACAATTTTGAAATTTAGTAGAGGTATGAAACTGAGTCAAAATAACTGTGTTTTCTGCTTTCATTCTTGATGTTTTAGGGTCAACTCAAACAACGTTATATGGATTTCATTACGCGGTTATTTGTAAAACATGCAATATGATAGTGGGATTCTTGAAAGATTAATATACTACCGACATTCCTACTTTTAGTCTTTTTTAAACAGTTTTGTTTTCTCAGCAACAGATGAAAAATGTTTTATTAGAAAATATAAATGTAGTATCTGATTTTATAAATAGCCATATGGTTAAATTTAACAACGACAAAAATAAAAAACAACAACATGGAAATTAAATACTTCTTTCACTTTTATTCACAAATTTACAGGACTATATTGCCCATTTGGAATACAGAAGATCTGTTCTGATCTGGAAGGACAAATATCCAACGAATGTTCCACTCACGCTGATTGTCCATGTCCAAAGATTTGCTGTAGTGCCGGCATAAAGTGCCCATATCGTTGTTATACTGGGCTAACTTTACCTCCACCGTAATCATCATTGTCGTTTTTAAAACTTATGGAAGTGCTTATAAAAATGTCGCTTTATTTTTGCTTTTCTTCCCTTATTTGTTTAATTAAATGTAACACACAAAGACCATGAAGTTTTATGTAGTTACACATGTAACTGAAAATAAATTGTCTTACTTGTTGGAGAAAAACTGTTTTTATTTACTAAACTAGAATATTCGTCTATTTGAATTAATAAAATACTAAAAAAAATACCAGCTGCTATGATAAACCTGATTAAGATATATATTTTCAAATATTCAAACATTTATTTTTTTAGATAAGATTAATTTTGAAGAATCGTGCTAGCTTCTTTTAACGTTTTTTTCGCATCAAACGTGAATTGTCATTGTTCTTCATTTCTTTTACTTCACTAATAACTTTATGGTGAAAAGTTTCCTAATATTTAAGCTGGAATTAAAGTGACATACAAGGACAGAGGCTGATTATTATGATGTTCGAGTTGCTGTTATTCTAGTTTTCTCAAAAAATAAAGCAATTAGAAACCTGTGTGATTAATAATAATTACCACATTAAATTTTAACACAAAGTAATGAAAATAAAGGCTCTATATCAATTATTGTCAACTTATCTTTTTATAATCAAATTCAATAATTTTGATCGAGGCACATTAATGTTAATAATATTCTGGAGAGTTTGTTTGTTTGTAATTAAGCACACAGCTACACAATGGGCTATCCTGTGCTCTGCCCACCACGGGTATCAAAACCCGGATTCTAGCGTTGTAAGTCCGCAGACATACCGCTGTGACACTGGGGGCATTCTGGAGAGTAAACTTTTGAACAATCTATAGGAAAAATAAAACGTCCCTTTTAAAAAAAAATTACCTTTTGTAGATGAGTGGGCAAATGATTAAAAACTGAGCACTTTACATCATCACGAAGGTGAACAGGTTGACTGGTTCTGTTAAAATCTCCAACCTTAAAATGCTTGCTCCATACATCCCCAAGATCTTATCAAGGATTCTTAGGGAAATTTATAAATTGATTGCAAGTATATTTAAATGGAAACGCTGCATACTATCTACTAATGAAATACTTACTGATACCGACATTTGGCAAGTGTAAAAAGCGCAGTCCAACATACACAATGCAAGAACTGTAAAACGGAAACAATTTTACAATTTTTGGGATCGAGATATACAGCTAAAATAAAATGTCGCTAAATAGGATATCTAGATACGCCATTTTAATACTCTATCAGTAAAACTATGAAATATTATGTTAGTTCAGGGTAAACGTTATAATATAAAAGGTGCTAAATTAAAACCTTTTCTGGTATTTATTGTTTCCACATGCTCCCCAGAGGCTCAGCGGTAAGTCTGAAACTTATAACGCTAAAAACCGGGTTTCGACTGACACAGCACAGATAGCCTATCATGTAGCTTTGCGCTTAACAACAAACAAAAACTGTTTCTATAATTCCTCAGACTTACCAGTGAAAACTAAGTCATGCTTCCTTCGTTACTTTACTATCTCCCTCATTGTAAGCGGAATGGGTAAACTCCCTTTCTCCAAATCTTCTCATTTCAACTTTATACTTATACATTTAACAATACTTGAAAGGTTTAAAGGCGAAACTTTAAACAGTTGAAAAACTATGACTCCCTAACCTCAAAAACCACGCAGGCATGCGCCGATAAATGACACTAGCAATTAACGTTTAGACTTCTTTGATTAGATTTGCTGTTGAAGACAGAAATAAAGATTTAATATAGATCCAATGGTCCAGTCCTAACATTAGATCAGCAAATCTAATTCTAGTTTAATTATGTCTAGACTCTAGGCCTAATCATAAGTATTAAATTATTAGCTAATATTTATGTATGGCCCTATACATAATCAAACGATATTCAGATACATTTGATGTACTGATTCACGCTAGTTCTTTGTTTTTCACAATACAATAATTTCATTGAAAATAGATTGAACTCGTTTAATCAATATATTTGTAAAACTAATATGTGTCTTCGCTGTACTCTCTCTAACGTTCCTTTTGTCACCCAAGATGGCGGCGCGATTGTTCAATCGTACTAGGCTGATAACGAGTCTAGCATATAAGTATGTATACGGTTGTAAGCTATATTTTTAATATCTTAATTTAGGTGTTTGTTTGTTAGTATGTCACAATATTTAGAAAGTTAATGTAAGCTTAGATTCTAGAAATTTCGTGTAGTAAATAGATAACAAGCATGACATAAACAGGAGATTTAGTAAAGCAGTTAATCAATGAGTAATCAGTGAGTTATTTAGTTTAGTCACAGCAGAATTATATAATTTACTCTTTCGGAAAATAATTTTATCTGAAAACATATCACAGTTCTCACTGACTTCAATTATCAAATTATTTTCATATTGTTATGTCTCTAGTCGTTGTTAATTTTCCGTAAAAAGGCTTTCCGAAGAAACTTTAGCGATACAAGTCCTTTCTTAAATAAAACTAGTTTATTCTTTCTCAATACAACTTTGCAATACACTTA